GTGATAGTGTGGTGGGGAATCTGGTGCTAGCAAACCCTTGCTGGGAGGTACTCTAACTGACACTAACATCAATAATGATACTAGTACAGTGATCAGATATAATAATACTATACACTGTCACTGTACTAATGACACTGACTGGGAAGGGGTTATGATCAAGAGGCAATCAGCTGACCAGCAGGTCTCAGCAATAAATCATTGGCTGACATCTGCGGACAAAATCGGGTAAGCAGAGGGCTCGTGCGTGCTCCCCAAACCCAGAGGCAGGCTCGCAACATTTATTTACGCCGCTGACGCCCAGTCGGTAGAATTACTGTGACCAGGTAGTAAGTGGTTAAAGAGGCATCTGTTTGAGTTTCACATTGCTGTGACTTACCTGATGCTGGGCAGATTTACAGCTTATCCACAAGCGGGCCCTGATTGCTACCGCTGCAGTGTCAATAAAGACATGAGTATTCAACTGATTAGCATTACGATGGCATTGCAGAAGTCCAGTACCATGCCAGGTCCACTCCTTGTGAAGATGTAACTAACAACCAGCAGTGGATAGACTGTGGCAGCAAGAAAAGGATGAAGCTGTGATCTGAGGTCTGTATTGTTATTTCATTAGTTATTTCATCTTTTTCTCAGGGGAAGATTCTTTAAATGGGTGGTTACATTCATTCTCCATGGTCCTACTGTCTGTAGGAATGTATTCTTCCTTTCTTGCTTGCTCTTTAGATAAATTAAGGACTAGGTACTATGGACTATAGGATCTGAAGTGTGCACGGTCAACCTGACAATAACTAATGTGCAATGCTCCCTCCAAACAAATGGAAGCAAGGGAGAAAAGTAGAAGTTCTGGGGGTCAATGAGGACAATTAAAAGAGGCAGAAAAACACAGTAAGAAACAATTTCATGAAAAACAGATTATAGTACATGACCTTTAAGTAGTGGATGTGTATGAAAAAAATCTTTACAATTCCGTGCTATGGTATATAAAATTATTAAAAATAAAAAAAAAAATAATTCAATCCACATGAGGAGCCACCACAATATTGCAGGTAACAATACACATAAAATAATATACAGAAGTGCGGCGCTTCAACAAATTTGAATTTAGAAGTCCAATCCACAAAAATGAAGATATATAGAATAGGCCCCTCTTCACTGGAACCTCAGTGCTGCTATGGATGTCTCAGAACGGCCAGGAGAAGATAGAAAAAAGTTCACCATCAACATCACCAAACACTCTGCCTCTTACTAGATCATGTTGACCCCCAGTTATGGATGGGTCAAAAAGTGCTGTATAAATTCCAAAAGGCAAGCCGTAGACTTGGACAATTTTTGGCTACAAACTTTCACATCAGAAGGTGGGCTAGAAGGTGAACCTACAAAGGAATTATCATCATAGAGGACAACCCCATTCAAATTGCAAAAAGAATCCTTATAGTGTAGTAAGATTATTTAAAATGTATAGCCTCAAAGCATAGTAATATATGTACATCAATCAAGAATATAAAACAGTATGTCACCATATAATGAATGGAAAGTTTCTGACCAACAAGATGGCCACCACGTTCCGTTGTGTGCTGATGTCACGCGCTCCTGCTCCTCCATACGTGTTTTTTTTTTCATCAATGACGTCATCAGGGGCGTGACTTGTGGGTGTGTATGGATTATCGTTGACAAAAAAGGACATCATTTAATAGCACTTTAAAAGTACTATTACACTTTAACAAGCTGCAACTCCCCACTCAGGGGGAATAGATGCCCCCAATTTCATTCATTCCTCCTATGCCAGCTAAGATTAAGAGAGACCACCATTACACTAAATATCAGCCTCCAACAACATTAACCTGTATAATAATAGTGTCCACTCCAGTCCGACCACATATCTACCTTTATACCATTATAGGTAGTCTTTTCTCCTATAAATCCCTTCCAGGTGCACAGTGTTCACAACATGAATTGAATATTTGATTTTCCAAGAGGAATATATGCTGAAAAAAGCTTTAAATGTGAAATTTCTTTGTAAGTATTGTGGGATAGAACAGTGATTTGTGTTGTGCACTAGCATTTTGGGAGGAAACATAATGACAAGTAATAATGTTAGCATTATCGATTTATTACTTATATCTTTATAGTGATGTTAATGGGCCTACGTATTGATATCGGCTTCCTCAGTTATTGGGAGTCTCCCTTGATTATCCCTATGGTTGCATGTAAGACTTTTTCTGGATCCTCTGTGCCCCACCCAGGTGAACCTTTTTCATTGTCTTTCTATTACACGTGTACACATTGCTTGTGGATTGAAGATAAATAAATATTATGTCTTCTACTATTACTGCACACAGTAGGTAAGTATAGACATGTTTGTTATTTTTTCTTTAAAAAAAAAGCCTTTAGAATCACTTTAACTTTTAAGTAAGTCAGTTTTAACGAGGTGAGAGTTTGCAGCAGGGACTGAACTGTGTCAAACATTAACAAAAACAGCCAAAAACTGCACAAGCACCACCATTTACATGGTCGTGTTATCTTTCACGCCTACATGTTATCTCCACTTTCACGCCTACATGGCTCCATTAACATCACTGATGCTCTTGGTCACATTGCTAGCACACATTGGGCCATGCATGGATTACAAGTATCTTTCAGTAAAAAATGTAGCTTATCACTGTTCCCTGTTTTTCAAATACAGAGGTATGAACAATTCCATGAAACAGAAAAAAGTGTTTCCTGGTGTCTGTGTGGTAATCTGCATAGCTGTTTGTGCCAGGTATAAGCTAATAAACCCATATCTGAGGACAGGGAACACATTATTCCACAGCTCGGTGCCAAGGACACTTATTGGTATAAGATGGATGGTTCCCATCATATACTCCTCATTGTGCCAACATGAGACGCCGTGTACTCCTGACTCTGCTTCTAGCAGGTAAGACCGATGAAAGAAGATTAGACCAAACACATATCATTTCTAATAAAAACATATTTGAAAAACAGATGATTTATGGGTATTGCCAATGGCTAGAATACCAGTGGGTTAAATGCCAAATGGTATTTATTTTAAAATGGTTAAACTGAAGAGAAGAGAGCTTAAAGCAGTATTAAACCCAAAAGCAAACATTTATTATATTGCAGATTACCAATTCTTAGATGTGAAGGATGCATTAGTTTTCTTTTATTAGGCTTTTTTCCCTTTATTTTCACCTGCTGCTCTGGCCAGTAACACACCTCCTGCCTTAGAGTGTTTCCACTACACTGAAGGAGCAACAGAGACACCCCTGGACAGCAGCAAAGTCAATTTCAAGAGAGGGTAGTGTTAGATGCACTGACTGGCTTTCTTTTCTATTTTTTACGTGGTGATCTTACCAGTACATCTGTTGTTTTTCAATAGAACAAGCTATCAATAGAACAATGCATCAGAAAGCTCAGGAGGGGCTAAAGGTTGAGGCCGTTCACATTTCTTGTGCCCTATTTAGCTAGTGGTGTGCAGCTTCTCTCATCCCCTTATACTTCCCTGCTTTCTGCCATGTTACAATCAAAAACATAAATGTATTTTATTGGGATTTTATGTGATAGACCAACACAAAGTGGCACATAACTGTGAAGTGGAAGGAAATGGTTTTCAACATTTTTTACAAATAAATATCTGAAAAGACTGCAATATATGCAGTCTATGCATAGCGGAGAGCCAGGGCAGTGTAAAGTGGGCCTGCACTACATCTGGTTTGGTTTGGGGGTATAATAGATAAAGGAGGGGGAATGGAACCCATACAGGGTTTTTAATATAAATTAACATCTGTACTGAAGAAAATGTCCTAGTCTATTTTTATCTATCAAGCTTGTAGCATATTTTCTCTGTTGTAATTACTTGCTGTTTCTTCTGACTTTGAATCTATCATCTCCTTCTATATTCACCATAAAACAGAAAAAGAAATATTCATTAACAAGACTGGGATCATTTAGTAACTGCCCTGACATATCGGAGAACTCAACTACAGGGCGCAAGGAGACTGCAGACATAAGAGGGTTGTAATTCACCACACCAAACTACTTTCCACTCAAAGGCTACAAAATTGAGGGTGTCAATCAGGGGCGGACTGACAACTCATGGGGCCCCCGGGCAATAGGGGATCATGGGGCCCCTGTGTCCTTGCCCAAACTAAAAAAAGCCTATGAAAAAGGTACCAGGGGCATGTCATGGGGCCCCCTACTGACCCCGGGCCCTCAGGCAGTGCCCGAGTTTCCAAATGGTCAGTCCGCCCCTGGTGTCAATACTCTATTTGTCAGAAGAGCATATAGAGTTTTTATTGCTGCCTAAACTATTACTTTTCTTTACTTCCCCCCGCCCTCTACCCTCCCCTTTTTTTTTATATCTTTTCCCCCCCATCTTTCACTTTTTCTTTTTTTGGCCTTTTCTCCATCTCTTCTTCTTTTGGATGCTTTTTTCTTTCAGTAGATTCTGTGCTGACGTCTGTTTTTCTGGTCCTTTTTCAAACATACTGCATATTAGCATCCTAGATGGCAACAGACAACTTCACTGGAGCACCTATTTCAGAATTTTGGCATTTACCTGTATGTATTTTTCATTTTATTTATTTGTGGGTTTTTTTAATAAGAACTCTTAAAACTCAATTTTTCCCCCCACAACCAAAGCACCTTTTTTGTTCTCTTTTAATCCAAGTTGGGTTTTCAGCAACTAAGTATCCCGAATCCTGGTATTCTAATGTCTAATGTCTAAGGAAGGGTACGGTACTGTACTGTTCTGCTTTCCAGTAACTGTACATTGCAATTTCTGTTACTGTATGCTACTCTAAAATGATTTTGTACTATTATGGGCTACTCCCAATTTGATTACATCGTCTTTGTAGTTCTTATTTTCATAAATAAATAAATACTTTTATGGGAAAAATAATTGAAGGTACCTCAATACCATGTGTTTGGACTGACTATTTAATACATATTTAATTATCTAACTTTAGTGCAGACAACAGCCCAACACACATATCTCTGTTTCCCTTTTCACAGTGACAATCATCTCTGGTAGACCTCAGTCCAAGAATCTCCTACAGTTCCGAAAAATTATCAAGTGCACAATACCAAATAGTAAGCCACTGAATGAGTACAATGGATATGGCTGCTATTGTGGGCTTGGAGGCTCTGGCACTCCTGTAGATGAACTGGATAGGTAAGTTTTTTTTAACTGTATCTAAACTATTTTTGCACTAAATGTCTTTTTTGCAATTAAATATCTTTCTATTCAACATGGAATTCCATGGTGGGCAGTCTGTAATATGTAAGGCCCCCTAGTCAACATGAAACCCACATATCTATTCTAAATTGCTGTGCAAGCCCCGTTTTTGGGATGTTAAGATGCATTGGCCAGACCATTCAAAATGAACAGCAATTTAAAAAAAGCCCATAATGCATGATAACATGTTGCAGTAGCACAGGTGCACTAACACAGTTAGCCCTTTACAAAAAGAACAAACAGGAGGGGGGAAGCACCTAGTGCATTGCCAGTGATTTATTGTTCAAGACAAGTGTCATAACAAATGGGTACTCACAAAAGTAGAAGATAAAAATGCATTAAAAACCAAAAGATGATACGAGGTGTAGGAACCCCCAACATGCAACCCAGCGAGCTGATGCATTTTGGGGATGCTCTGAGGAACGAGATTGCACCCCTGAAACACAATCCAGCTTGTATGTAAGTGCCCTTGTGTACAAAATCTTACAGAGTCTTCACCAAATTTCCAAATTCAGGTTAAATAAACACAAAAGGTTTGTTTCTACTTGATCACTTACTATTGTATATACACTGCTCTATGCACATTAAACATCCCATAGTCCATAGTACCTAGTCAAGCTTAGGAAAGAACAACAGAGGGTGGCTACATTCCTACATACAGTTAGATTAAAGGTAGACCATGGAGAATGAGTGTAGCCACTCTAACAGGAAGGAATTTGGAAATTTGGAGGAGGCTGAGAACAATAGTATGTACCTTCTTCAGTTAATATTAAATACGTAAATTTACTTTTTTAAACCAGAGTTTAGTATCACTTTGAATCTTTTGATGTACACTCCTATGAAAATCTGATAACTGTATCTCCTTTTGTATGCAGGTGCTGCCAGATTCACGATGACTGCTATAGTGAATACAAATCAGTTGCAAACTGTACCCCCATATTTGATAATCCTTACACAGAGTTCTACTCATACAGATGTGAAAATAACATTGTGACCTGCACAAGTAAGCTTAACACTTGTTTTTCACAAATACTGCAAGGGTTAAATCCTCATTTATGCCTAGAAAAATAATAAAAAGAAGTTTTAGTTACCTGTCTGGGGAACCAGTCCCCTGAAGCCATTTCTGTTGGTATAGTGCTTGGCATCTAATTTTGCAAATTTGCAAATTTTAGGATTTCTAACAAGGGGGCCCATTTAGATAGTGGTGCACTTACTACCTCCTCTTTAAGACTTCATGCAGTGAACTACTTTTGGGCTGTTAGGCAAAAGGGCAGTCTCTGGTTGTATTGGATCACTAACAGTAAGAACACAAGCACAACTGAATCCATTCACCAGTCGTGGTACACCAGGAACCTTATTCTGGACACTTGGTGGTAGCGGCTATCAGGGTCCTCAGTTTTGGTGGTTTGTCTTCAATACTCTGATCCTCACAACCTCAGTTTCTCTGGTGTAGGAACAGACAGGTCCAGGCAGCAGGTATGCACTCCACAGTCAGCAGAAAGAGGCTCTCAGTAGCTCAATATTCAGCCTCTATACACACAAGAAACAGCTCCGGTCTACATACACCAGCCCTCTGTGGCAATCTCTCTGGTGGGGCACCTGCAGGTCCAAGTAGCAGATCTGCATCACTTCACTTCCTCTTGACAAGGACCCCACTTCCTCACTGAAATGAAAACTCCTGCTCTCCCCCTCTGTTTTCAAGGCTTTGCAGGCTCCTGTACCTCACTGCCCCATTCAGTTACACTATACATGCTCCTTGAAGATTACAAGTCCCGGTATTGATTGCAGGAGGCATCATCTTCAGGCAAGGAGAAGTGGGAGAAGGCAGAAGGGGTGTGTAGAGGATTCTTCACTCAGCTGCCGGTAACTTAGTGCAGCAGCAGGGAAAGGGTAGAAAATCAAGCTGGAACACACAGCCTGCTTTGTAGCAGAGCCTGCAGCACAACAGCCAGAGGGAGCCCTGAGAGCTTCTCTAGCCAGCAGACACCAGGCTACATAAAACATACATAAAGGCACTCATAATAAAATGTATAGTTTTCTCTTTTTAAAGTAAGTGCCTATGCCTGTCAGAGGCAAACAATTGTTCGCTATAAAACCATACTGCATAGTAGTCATTCTCAACCAAGGTTCTTCCAGAGGTTGCTAGGGGCTCTTTGAGCTGTGTTTGATTGACCTCCCTTTGATGGTATTTGATGCTACTGGCATAGTTTCTTGGACCAATGCTACTTGGCAGAGTCAGAGGCATGACACCAATGATCTTTTTATCTGTCTGTAAGGGCGGTATTTTGACCACCAATGTAAGGGGAAATTTCTCTGACATCTGACCCCCAATAAATTACTTTAGTAGGGTTTTCCAAAGACCTGAAATTTATTTCAAGGGTTCCTCTGCTGTAAAATGTTGTGAAAGGCCACTGTATGGGTATTGGGCAATTGCTACAAGCCTGTTGAAAGCAACCTCAAATGTAGTCCAGTTGGAAACCACCTTACTGTAATGTAGATAAAGAAGTAAGCCTGGTTTTACAGTGTGATTTTCCTCCCATGCAGATGATAACAATCCATGTGAGATGCACATCTGTGAGTGTGACAGAAAAGCCGCCCTGTGTTTCTCCAAAGCAACTTATAGCGAGGAGTACAAGGACCTGGACAAGAAAAAATACTGCCAGTGATTGGAAGAAAGCACCAAGCAGTCAAATGTTTATTTATTGCATTCTTTACACAGCATTTGTATGGTTGGATCCACTTATTTCTTGACATTACATTGTGTTGCAGTGTCAGTATATCTCTTCTGCCATCATGAAACCAACAGTACACTTACCTCTACAAATAAATAGCAAACATCAAATTCTTAAGCAGAAAAAAATGTGTTATCATTGTAGTAGTTAAATTATTATTACACATTCATATCTCCCAAGTTTGTGAAATCAGAAACAAGGACAATATAAGGACACTCCCTGCCACACTCCCACTTGCAATGACCATGAAGATTATTGACAAAAAATGATTGATTAAAGCAGAACTTGCAGTTCACAACAACGCCCTATAGAGTAGCCCTCCTCTGTAGATTGCCTAGGAAAAAACAAATCTGAAACTTTAAAAAAAAAATTAAAGAAAAGAGGAAAAATACCTTTCAGCCTGCTCACTTAAGATGAGTGTGATGCCACTCAGCATTCTGGTATCCTGGGAAAGCTAAAGATCCCATATCTCTTGAAATTTGCTCTTTCACTGTGTACATAATGTGTAAATAATAATAAGTAAAATCTCACTCTTGGGTTCTAAGATTTGGATGCACTTTAGCTGAGTCAAACATGGATAAAAATCCTCAGTAATGTGATCATGCACCCTCTCTGAATAATATACAGGAATAAGATAAAAGGCTACATTGTACAGTATGAAGGCTTGGTTAAGACAGCAGCAGAGTGCCCAGTGAGTCTGACTATAACCAAAAACAAATTTTAGGCTAACAAAGAAAGGATTGATGATAACACTGAAAACAGGTAGGCTCACAATATTTAGGCTACAGACCACACTCCTGAAGCTAAGGTGGAGTTTTTTAACCACTTGAGTATACACTATATTGCCAAAAGTATTGGGACACCCTTCCAAATCATTGGATTCAGGTGTTCCAATCACCTCCATGGCCACAGGAGTAAAAAATAAAGCACCTAGGCTTGCAAACTGCTTCTACAAACATTTGTGAAATAATGGGTCGCTCTCAGGAGCTCAGTGAATTCAAGTGCAGTACCATGACAGGTTGCCACCTGTGCAAGTAGTCTATCAGTGACATTTTTCCTTGCTACTAAATATTCCACAGTCAACTGTTAGTGGTATTATAACAAAGTGGAAGCAACTCGGAACAACAGCACCTCAGCCACGAAGTGGTAGGCCACGTAAAATGACAGAGCGGGGTCAGAGCATGCTGAAGCGCACAACTGTCTGCAGAGTCAATAGCTAAATACCTCCAAACTTCATGTGGCCTTCAGATTAGCACAATAACAGTGTGTAGAGAGCTTCATGGAATTGGTTTCCATGGCCGAGCAATGCATCCAAGCCTTACATCACCAAGTGCAATGCAAAGCATCGGATGCAGTGGTGTAAAGCACACCGCCACTGGACTCTATAGCAGTGGAGAGGTGTTCTCTGGAATGACGACTCACGCCTCTATGCCTGGGAATCCGATGGACATGGGTTTGGTGGTTGCCAGGAGGAAAGTACTTGCCTGACTGCATTGTGCCAAGTGTAAAGTTTGGTGGAGGGGGGATTATGGTTTGGGGTTGTTTTTCAGGGGTAGGGCTTGGCCCCTTAGCTCCAGTGAAGATAACTCTTAAGGCATCAGCATACCAAGACATTTTGGACAATTTCATGCTTACATGTTTGTGGGAACAGTTTGGGGATGGCCCCTTCCTGTGCCAACATGACTACACACCAGTGCACAAAGCAAGATCCATAAAGACATAGATGAGAGAGTTGGGGTGGAGGGACATGACTGGCCTGCACAGAGTCCTGTCCTCAACCTGATAGAACACCTTTGGGATGAATTAGAGCGGAGACTGCAAGCCGGGTCTTCTCGTCCGACATCAGTGCCTGACCTCACAAAAGCGCTTCTGCAAGAATGGTCAAACCTTCCCATAGACACACTCCTAAACCTTGTGGACAGCCTTCCAGAAGAGTTGAAGCTGTTATAGCTGCAAAGGGCGGGCCAACTCAATATTGAATCCTACGGAATAAGACTGGGATGTCATTAAAGTTCTTGTCCGTGTAACCACTAAAAACTGAAAAATGGCATGGTAATGAAGGAATTTACAGTATGTCTGTAAGTTCTTTCATTGTGTTTGTAAATGTTACATACATCGAATTTAAATGTATTCAATGTTCTTAGGTAGTTGCTTGCATGCAATGTATTCATTGTATGTATTTGTGGTAGACGTGTGTACAAACATATTGCAATTTCAGTTTAAGTGATTGTATTGCAGGTTTACAGAACTATTCACAGTTTTTGAATTAAACACAATGCTACTTCTGTCAGTTTTGTTAGCTAGCTGTCGGTTAATCATTAGTAGGACTGCAAAAGGATCCTTATTCTCATAATTGTAATTCCAAGACCATCCATTAACTTCCCTAGTGGTCTGATTATGTCAGTATTTCTGTGCTCAAAGCGGTACATTGTTCTGCATGGAAATATGTTGTTTTTTTATTGTAGGCCAGTAATTCTTAGGAATAAAATAAATTAGTCCAAAAGAGAATCTTCCCTCTTTTATCAAATAATCTACCTATATGTACAACAACAAAAGTTTCCCCATATAGTTCTATATGTGAACTAACAAAAAATCATAAAGTCCAGTGTCCCAATGATCAAAACTAAATCATAAAAGTCCAGTGTCTCGATAATCAAAATAGTAGAACCGAAAAAAAGGATGTGTATCTTGCAGCGTTGATTGTGTTCGGTGATTTATGTGAAAAACCTCAAAGATAAAGAAACTCACAATAGTGCATTACCATAATATAATCAAAACAAAAAAAAAAAAACAAAAAAACAAAAAAATATATATATATATACGCTTACATGCACACACAAATGAGTATCATAAAGTTGTGCAACACTAAGTGATAGTGAAACACTTGTGAAAACCTTCCAAACAAATAGTAAAATACTCGTGCTCAAAAAATTCTGAAATCCTGAAGTGAAACACTCAGTGAAACTACTATCCACACGTGACACTTCTAGTGAGTAAGGCAAATGTACCCTTACCAACAGTAGAGAAAAACCACGCCTTTATAGTATAATTAGTAGAAATCCTCCAAAGGAACTTTCTCCTCCTCTCCTCCTTCACTTATTGTTAGGGTGATGTTGTAATGCCATCCACTTTCCCAAGTCTATAATCATGGGTTTACCAGGCTCCAGTATAATAGAAATTAGCCATGACGTACCTCCATGTATTCAAAATAACATTTTAATAAGTCTGCTTACATTAAAATATGCGATTGAGACAAAACCCCACTTTCTGGGGATTACCAGGCAGTTCCCACAGTTTTCCAGGCAGTTCATACACAGGTATCCAGCGATTCCCCAACAAAGATGGCCGCTGTAACACTTCCGGTTCCTGCTTCTTGCATATGACGTCACTTCCTCTTGACGCGTTTCGTCACATCCGGGACTTAATCATAAGAGAGAGAGAGACGTCCTGACACCTGGCCACAATAAATACCACTCCTCGATTGACTGACGATACTCCGATCGCCATATTGGAACAGGGAAACATCGCCCTTACTAAACCGCACAGCCGAATAATAGCAGGAAGTACACTCCCTATGCAATCAAAAATTAGGAGCATACCCAGTGGAACTGCATTTGATATAGCAGCTATATCTTAATAGTCCAAGATACAAAAATTACATTTTAACTAACCATGATTTCACATTGAATTAATAAAAACAATAATAAAAACATTATTATATTTAATATCCCCTACTTTATATATATCCTGGTACCCATCTCATATACTAAACTATATTTGAACTGGTGTCTACACTTAGCACCCCCTACTGGTCATAATAAAATATTACCATCTCATCTAAAATATAAATATCCTCATAGATTGCACATAGAGATATAATTCATTATAAATATAAATTAATTTTGTTTTAACCTAAAAAAGCTAGGAGAATATTGATTTTAAAATATTTATAAAATTAACTTAAAACTAAGATAAAATAAGACATTTATTATTATTTAAAAATTAGAAATAAAACAATTAAGATCTAAATCCACATTTAATCCTCTAGGTCTAAGAGTTCTTAATTGGAATATCCAGAATGTTTCATTTTGTGATAAAATTTTAATTTATCACTACCTCTCCAGTGAGCTTCTATAGAATCAATCCCACAGAATTTCAGGGTCCCCGGATCACAATTGTGGATATCCCTGAAATGTCTGGAGAGACAGTGGTCTTTTTTACCTTTTCTAATATTATTAACATGTTCGCTCAATCTTTTATGAAGGGGTCTTGACGTTCTGCCCACATATTGTAAGTGGCACGAACATTCTAATAAATATGTAACAAATGTTGAATTACAAGAAATAAACTTTTTTATTTCAAAACTCTTTCCTGTGTTTTGGGAAGTGAAATCCTTAATAGATCTACTATTAATACCTGTTGTTTTACATATGGAACACTTTTTACAGGGGTAAAATCCTTTGAGATTGAACATATTCACCTTCTTTTTTCTGGGGGGAGAAATGACAGTTCAAATATAGTTTAGTTTAATTAAATTTGCTCAAATTCCTCATTATTAGAAAAAGAAAGAAACTTGCACATTTAGATAGAGAAATCAATAAAACCAAGGAATTATTATTAGTGCCTTACATGGGCAGGGAAGATTACATGAATGAGTCTGAAAAACTGAAACAGCTATTGGAAAAAAAACAGATAAAGAGCAAAGATATAAGAAAAAGAAAAAATATCTCAGAGATCTCCATGACTATAAGGACAAAACAGTATTTAGATGGGAAGCCAAGAACTATGATTATGTAGATTCCACTCAGATGGAAACTGTAACCATTCCCACTAAAAACAATACAACAAAAAATAATGCAAAACGCAAAAAAGTTGCCAAACCTCCCCATACTCCTAATAACAACTATAGACATCATTCGGAGAATGTACCCAAT